GTCAATCAACATTTGTTGCTGAATTCATTGTCTTATATTGCTAAGCATAGATTTGATTAACAGACTTCCTTGTGTAACTAAGCATAGATCTAAAAACCACATTCTGCTCTGCTATGAAAACCACTCCATTTGCTTTGTATTTTTGTATGGTTTCTCTTTTTTTCTTTTTTTAAACATACTCTTCCTAGGAAATGCAGTCTTTATGTTTTCTGCACATTGGTTTAGTTTTTTTGCAATGGAAGTCAATCACATTAGTTTTTTATTAATCATTTTTTATTAGATATGCCGCCGAAGGCAACAAAATGAAGAAAACGTGATATTGGGTGGGATCATGGCGAAATGATTGACAACAATCATATGTGGAGATGATGCAAATACTGCGAAAAAGAGATGAAAGGTTCCGGGGTATCACGCTTAAAACAACACATAGCTGGTGGTTTTTCAAATGTTGAAAAATGTGAAAAATGTGCAGTGGAGGTGTCAAGGGCAATGAGGGAGCACCTTGATAGTCAAAAGACAGAGAGTGAAAAAGTAACTATAGAGAGAGTTGCTCTTAGGGAGACTTTGATGGAATCCACACAAAAACGACATGGAATTGATGTAGATAGTTTTGATTGTGATGAGTACGTTGACTTAGACAAGGAGATGACCCCTTTAGAGAGGAGGCAGTTACATATTGCCAAGCAAAGATCTATACATGACTTGCATGAATTTGAGCAAGGTAGAGCACGGTATGAAGGTGGTGACACATCAAAGGGAGCTTTTTCCTCTCGTTCAGATAAAATGATGGGAATGACAGAAACATTTTAAAAGAGATCAAAGGGTTTAAACATAGAAGACATAGATGCTTCAATTTACAGGAACCGTGATTGCATACAACAGAGGATACCAAACATGCTTGGTTCCAATAAATTTGTGAAATCTGCAAAGCATGCCATAGGTAGGTGGTTTATTTATAGTCATATCCCCCCTAATGCAGTTGGAAATATATATTTCCAAACTATGATAGATGAGATTGCAAAAGCAGGAGTGGGGTTTAAAGGTCCAAGTCCTTACGAGATCACTGGTCCTATTTTGGATAACGAAATTGACGAAATAAAGGAGTATGTTGAAAATTTTAAGAAAAAGTGGGAAACATATGGTGTCACTGTTATGTGTGATGGGTGGACATCAACAACCAAATTATCAATTATAAATTTCTTAGTTTACTGTGATGAAAAAATTGTGTTTCATAAGTCTGTGACTGCTTCCAGTCAGTATAAGGATGCCAACTATATTTATGAGTTAATGGATGATGTGGAAAAAATTGGTGAAAAATATGTTGTGCAAGTGATTACTGATAATGGGTCTGCATATAAAAAGGCTGGTGAGTTATTGATGAGAAAGAGGAAGCATTTGTATTGGACCCCTTGTGCTACCCATTGCATTGACTTGATACTAGAAGATTTTGCTGATGGACAGTTAGTAAAGAGTGTGATCGATCAAGCCAAAAAAATATCAAATTTTATCTACAACCGTAATAGGGTGCTTGATATCATGCGAAAATACACCAAAGGAAGAAAGCTTCTACGTCCAAGTGCGACCCATTTTGCAACAAACTTTATTGCGATTCAGAGTATTTTTGACCAAAAGATATCTTTACAAAGAATGTTTACATCTGATGAGTGGGCAAATAATGCAGCAAGTAGGGACCCAGTTGGTAAAGTATTGCAAGAAGTTGTATTAAGTAATTCATTCTGGGATAAAGCACATATGGTGTGTAAGTTACATGCACCTATTTCAAAGGTTCTTAAAATGGTGGATGGAGAGAAGCAAGCTACTATGGGTTATGTATTTGAAGGAATGAGGAGAAGTAAGTTGGTTATTGAAGCAGCTCTTCCTAGGGCACATAAAAAGTATTGCAATATAATTGATGATCGATGGAAAAGACAGATGATACAAGACATACATATAACAGGTAACTAGTAATACAATTTTTTTAATCACAAACTTTTTTAATCACTGCCTTAAAGCTAAACTAGCCAATTAGTACTGTGAACAGTACCGTGAATAGTACCAGTCACATTAAATTCCATCTTCTGTTCAAAAAGTGTTGTGCTGAAATTCCATCTTCCATCACATTCCATCTTTATTTTTTTAAAGCATTACTTACTGAAAACACCTTTTATGATTTTACCAGCATACTATTTAAATCCTACATACCACTATGATCAAGAACTTGCTTACAAAGAGGAATTGGTAGATGCTTTGAGAAGAGTAGTGCAAAAGCTTGAACTAGATGGTGATCGGGCTACCATGGCGCTTGCAGAGGTACATACCAATTTTATTTACAATGATTTACTACAACAATATATTCTCCTACTAGGAATCTCTAAAAGATCTACCATGTAGGCAAAAACATTTCAAGATGCTATGTATGGGTTTGGTGATGCCGTAGCTATTAGAGGAAGGTTGACAACTAAGCCAGGTAATTAAAAATATGTAGACATTTATTGTTTAGAAATCCTTAATTTCGTATGTACTTAATATAACAAAGTCTTTTTTGAATTTACAAATTGCTTCTTCTATTTTGTAGCCGATTGGTGGTTCATGTAGCTTCGTCAAGTGGGTACGAAAAAAATTGGAGTACATTTGCTCTCATCCATACTAAAGTTCATAATCGCCTTAACTATCAAAAGTTGGAGAAGTTGGTCTATACACATTATAACATGAGGTTGAGATTGCGACATCTCATGAAAGACAAAAGGAAAGTAGACCTTGACTTTAAACCAATAGATTTGGCTCATTTGTTTGAAGAAGATGATTTGCTCACGGAGTGGTTAGATGATCCAGGAGATGCACTATTAGATGAATTTGACAATGAAGAACAACATGCTAGGTCAAATTCTTTTTTGGCAACATGGGTCGAAAGATTGAGTGGACCTCATTCAAGTGGCACAAGTTCAAATGAGGCAAGAGCAAGGAACATAAGAGGTAGTGGAACGAACATTATCTTGGATGATGACGATGATTTTGAGATATTGATGAGAGGACCATCATTGCATCATACAAGCATTGATGAAGTTAACAATAATGGTGGTGTTAGTGAAGAAGGTGAGCGTGATAATAGTATCCATGTTGGTGGTATTGGAAGCAATGAGAATATTAACAATGAGGATGTTGGTGGTATTGGAAGCAATGAGAATATTAACAATGAGGATGTTGGTGGTAAAGATGACAGTTTCACTAGTGAATCGATAAATAATAATTCTTTTAGTTCTTCACAACAACATCACATTGGAGAAAGTCCAACTGGTGTATATTTCACTTAAGATCAATATTTTGATTATGCCAACCAAGACCAAGATCATGGTAGTCGTCGCTCCATGGGTCATAATAATGATATGCAAAATCAGGGAATTTAACAATGTTTATTATTTTCTAAAACTCTAGAATTCATCTATTAATTGCTTTGATTTTATGGTGTTACTGTTATTGCTGGAATTTTTTTATAAATTTCAGATGATGAATGACTACTTTAGTAAGCATGAGATTTAAATGGGGCTCATTAACGTTTCTATGCGTTTGCATTATTATTATTTGTAATTTTATGAATGAAACTCCAGATTTTTATGTAAATGACAATTCCATTTCTTTCTTTTTTTTTTTTAAGAAAAGAGAAAAATATTCATAGCATACAAATTTTGATGCAATTACAATATGCCAGAATAGCAGAATACCAATGATATTAAAATTTCAGTCCATCTACACAGCAACACAGATGTCACATATCTTTTTTTTTTTTTAAGAAAAGAGAAAAATATTTATAACAGATAGATTTTGATGCAATACAATCTGCCAAAATAACAGAATACCAATGATATTGAATTTTCAGTCCATCACCAACCCAGAATCAATTTCATGTCACATGTTACAGACTGCTATCTGTCCAACAATTAACTAAACAACCTACAGCTTCAGCTTCATGCCCTTGAATCACAAATCACCATCTTTTTCAATCTTGCAGTAGGCATTTCAGATTGATCTTGTTGCAACAGCATTCTACCAGTCAAAGGCAGAGCACCACTAATTGAGAAATCAGTGCTACATCCACAACAGACTGCAAATGAAGCCAGAAAATTAACTAATACATTAGCCTCTCTAAAATGACAAATAAATATCACTCGGTTAAATATTACAATTGTGAATCGTCTTGTTTCAAAGTTAATAATATTCAATTAGACTATACAAAAAAATTTCTTGTAAATTATATGTATTCTGTTGTTTCTTGCTTTATTGGATTGATAAAAAAACCAAAATAAGAACTTGATTGACATAAAACCAATTTCATTCATAAGTTTCCATTCGATTCTACCAAAATACATCGTTTTCAAAACATTTCCAAAATGTTTCTATTTTTAGAGTCACCGAAACATATCTCCGAAGCAAAACTTTAAACCATGATTCCACTATATCTCTATATCAACATTCACTGCAGACAGTCCATAACGCAGATCCCACACCCGGCACAGCCCCCTCCCCAATAGTACTCCACTACGCACCTCCTCTGTCTCTCTCTCTCTCTCTCTCTCTCACACACACACACACACGCATCAATTTAGGCTGTCGATGGTTTGAGTTTGGTTGGCCCAGCCCAAGACAAACCTCTAGGTTCGTCACTTTCCTACCCTACCCCAGCCCCCACCCTTCAACCCATCTAGCATGCCCAAATCGAACATATAAAAATAAATTCAACTACAATTCAGAGAGCAGAAATTCTTACATATGGAGAAAATATACAATGAGTTAAAGATTTTATGCCACACCATACTAAAAAAAAGCTCATCCTATCACATCTGCGTGATGCCTACAATTTGTATTATGGTATACTCAGAATGTATAGTAAGTCCTAATGGAATCATAATCAGTGCTAAGCTGCAAATTCAACCCTACGGCCTTCTCTAAGGATGCAACAGACTTGTCCATTATGGCTTCACAATTAAATTCCTTCTTTCAGCACAAGTGTTGCTTGGAAATTCAGTCATGGCCATGAAAATCCCCTCTTCCAGAACTGGGAATTGGCTCATCTGTTAAGCATCAAAGAAGCGCTATTCATGTAAATAAAACAGTATAAATCATAGATTTGCATCAGATGACAAGGAAACTATTGACAAGTATGAGTCACTACTCTTAGATCCCACAAATGAGCACGATAATTAAACATTTAAATGCAACATGAAGGCACGATAGCAATTTACAATGAAAACCAAACCAAAATAAAATATTCACCACAAAAAATACCTATAGCACCCACCCCATAGCCTTTTTGCCCCCTAAAATAAAAGATTGCCTCCCAAATCCTCCCTCGTCCCCCACAAAAAAACGAACAAACTCAAACCTACAAAAAAAAAAAAAAAAAAGAAGATAAAGAAAATAATTCCCCCAATTATTACTCCAAAATGACGCAAATGAGCAAAGCAAATTTAACCTTCAAATGCAAAAGTTTTGCAAATTTATTCGCTTTCTTTTCTTTCTTTCTTTTTTTTTTTTTTTTTAATTTCATGATAACCATAAAAGCAGTAACCCTAAAGCTGCACCTCCACCTGAATGATGTATCTAATAGTTCCACACCAGGAATTAAACATAGATGAAAAACAACCAGTTCCTGCAGGAGCTTTAATCACTAGTAGTTTGATAGGTAGACCCAAAACAGGAGATTTCAAACTATCCAAATCAAATACGAAGTTAAATGAAATAAGCAAACTGAAAACATTGAACATACTCATGCTAATAATAACGCCAAAGTTTCAAAATCAATAAGCAACACACAACAGCAGCTAAGGAAACAGGATAACGTACTGAATATCAACTTCACTAAGCAATAAAAATCTCCTGTACTATGTTTTTTGGGGGTTGGGGGCAAGGATAAATATGAGTATCAAAGTTTAAAAATATGTACACATGTCAACAGGCACTTGATTGATCACAAAAGAATGATCAGTTTTAGCTGAAGCAGAAGGATTTTTATCATGTGTTCTGGCCATTCAAGTCAAAGAACCGCTGGGAACTAGTAAGGGTATCCAATGGATACCTCATGTAGATTCTCCCAGCATAAGGGTATCCAAGGGATACCTCATGTAGATTGTAGACCAATGAATACCAGATGAAATGTTTTTCTTGTGGCCTAGATATAATGTAAACCTTCACCTTCAAGACAACTAGATAATAAAGACAATCTCAAAATGTTTCAGAATGTTTTAGCATCAAATGCCGGATTACAACTTAAAACCAGGGATTTTGATATGATAATATGGCAGCTGCTTTTAAGATCCATATCTGATCACCAGGCTAGGTTGAGGAAAAAAGTGTAATCTTCGGACTTGCTCACACGATCACTATCCTTGCCAAAAACAACACAAAATTTGTACCTTGTTTGAGTAACTGGTGTGCATCAGGATATTGCGTACAAGTAAAATTCCAATAATCTTAGTACCCAAGCAAAATTGATAGAAACAGAAACCAATGTTACACTTTTAATCTCAAATATACAAGGAACGGAAACGAAACCAAACCATTGATAATCCAATCCCATGTCATTCTATAAAAACTAAGCAGGGGCAATCGTCCCAGAGAATTTGGTTCTTGGCAGACTGGAAATCCAGTCATCCTACAGTATCTCACCATTGCAAAAGGCATAAATAATTATGCAAATAAAAATCCCAAGATAAATGTCCACAGTAACTCACTGATGGCATCAGATGCCTACTGTCACCCGTATCCCTGTTTGCACATGGTTTTGGGGGGGCATGGGGGTGGGAGAGGAGGAGAAGGTAGCTGCCATAGCAACTCGATGATGGCATCAGATGTGCCAGTATTTGGTGAATGTCACTCAACTCCTTAGACAACACTTGAAACAACTCATTAATGAAGAGTCATGTGCATAGCTTTTATCTTACCTTGCTCTTCTTCATCTCCATTTTGAGTTGTAAAGAATGGGGTGAGGTAATTCCTATCTAATGCTGTGAATGATGAGGTGCTGCAGCAAAGAACATAAACTCGAATCATTTATATATGAATCAACAGAAGAAAAAAACATATTGGATGTCAGCTTGAAGAACCTCTTGTGAAATTCTTTGAGTTTCATCTTGAGCCTGTTCCCAGATGATGGTTCCCCATCATAAGAAGGAGCTATGTAGCCATTGTCCTCTTCAAAGCTCTGAAATCAAATAACAAAAAAAAAACCAAGATTAGGACATGTTACAACTTAAAAGTACATCAACCAGCATATTGGTAATATCAGTGCGCTCTCTCAACTATTTTTAACCCCATTAATCTGAAATCACTCCACTAATATTTGGATATATACGTCGATCGTTTCTGTTTCTACTTCTATGATGTTTTTCCTTCTTTTTCTTCCTGGAGGGTGGGGGATGGGTTGTTGCACAGAAACATCATTCAGTTTTCAGTATCACCTTTCTAATCCAGACTAGAGACATGAACTAATGAACAATAAAGAAAAGAAGAAACACAACTGCAATCAGCTTAAAGAGGATCGAGGTTTTGTTACCCAATGGCGACCTAAGACAAAATGATAGGAGGTAACCCACTGAAAAATAGGAAACACCGGAAAATGCCTTACCAACAACAGCCAAGCTTTTCTAGTGCTCAGAAGTAAGAAAGCTGAATTCTATTCTTTTCAAATAAGAGATAAAAGTGAAGCAGGATAAATGGTTAACATACCAGAACCTAGTTTTTAAAAAGGTAGCCAACTTAAGGGACATATTGTGAAGGCATGATTTGGAGGACATGTTTTCCACCATGATGCTAGCTGTCACAGAGTGCAAATTACACTCGAATTTTTGCTTTGTGATGGCACTAAGATCCAACAATCTCAGCCAAACACATGATATGTTCACAGAAACAATATATCGAATAGAAAATGAGCAAGAATCAAACTCACAGCAGGCACATGAGATTACTGGCCAAAAAACCAAGACTTTTACTTCTCAAGCACAAAGGATTTTTGGCTGAGGGCCTGCTTACAAACTGCACCCAAATTCTCTTAGGTTACTATAGACCCTAGCAATGTATATATAAAGTTATACATGGCAGTTACAACCCAACCGCCTAGGCAATGGAGGCACCAATCAGCTTTGGTCAACTCAGCCATGCAGTTGACATCCCCAACTGCTAGGATTCCAAGTACCAATCAGATTCGCCCTCAATGATTGTGGGTGGTACTGCCATTCCCCCTCAATGTTGCTGAACCAATTAGAAGCATCAGGCATGGCTGAAGCAATTATGCCCTTGTAATTGCTGCATGAGACAGCCAACAACTGCCCAAAACTGCCCAAAACTGCCCCATATGATCAGCACATGTCACGTGCCAAACCATGCTCAATCAATGACTTGGTCTTTCAAGCTTGCAATGCACCTCAATTGGAACCCACTGCCTAAGCCTTGCTTGCTTGTGCCCATGCATGTACGGCCTCCCTCAATCATGCATGGGGCTTCTGGATCCCACTGATCATCAATACCACAGGGAGTCATTTTTACACCATAGTGGTGCTTAGCCAAGCACCTCCCGACCTTGGCTAAGGCACAGGGCGCCATTGGGCGAGCACCCGCATACCATAGCCATGCCAACGATCTAAGGGGCTAACACCAGTCTACATCAGTCATACATTTCAACTCATACCATCTTACATTTTGCAAGAATAGCAAAGAGGTTGAAGAAATTTGCAAATACGAGAAATGTCTTCTTGAAGGTCCAACGAGGGTGAGATTGTTAAAGTGGAATCATGAGTTCAACAAGGAACGGAGAAAGGTCTCGTTTCTTGGTGGGTGACTTCCAGTGGAAGATCTACCTTTGCATCAGTGGCATCGGGATGTCTTCCATAAGATAGGAGAATGGTGTGGAGGATATCAGACAGAAAACCAAGAGAATTTGTATCAACATTCGTTTTTTACGGACAACTTTGAATGTTTATTTCAATGGGAAAGTCTACAGAATTAGAATAAGTGTGCTCGTCAATCTGTGTGGGTATATTCGCAACGAAAAAATGAAGATTTTTGGAAATGGCGGTACAAAAAATGGGTGCATCAGGCAAGAGGAAGATTATGGTGTAGGCGCTCACGTTTTTTGTCTAGGTAGAAGCTGGCGGCTAGGCTTGCTTAATCGGATACACAGAATTGGGATCTCTGTCGCATGCAAATCTTTCTATCGGGAAAGCGTCACTTATTCAAAGGGCGGAAAATAAACACAATAATTACGTAGTTAATATATTAATGGTGTAAAATCCCATGATTTTGGGAAATCTAAATCTAATTTGAATTTTAAAAGTTGGGTTACGATGGTTAAGGAAGGGGAGAAAAAGAGGGAGGTGAATTTGGGCAAGGCCAAAATGGGATGAATGATGATCTGGCAGGCTTAAACAAGACCATTCAAATGGGGCCCAACAAATTACTGGGCTTCGAATGAAAATGAACGTAATGGCCAGAAAAATTGATGTAATGTTAATAGGCATAATTTTCTAGTTAAATTGTCAAGTAATTAGGGTTAGGAAGAGAAGATAAGATTAAGAAGAAGAAGTTAATAGATTAAAGGAAGAGTGTACTATGTTAGGGTCACACGACTATATCCCTATATATATATTGGGATAACATAACATAACACTACACTTCCCCTCAGAAGTGTTAGAGAAAAGATTGGATTGGAGGAAGAAATGAGGAAGGTTGATTTTAGCTTACTCTATTTTGGCAAGTTCACTATAGGTAATGGGGTGAAAGTTCTTTTTTGTGAGGACATTTGGGTTGAAGAGGAGGCATTTTTTACTTTATTCCCTCGGCTGTTTCGTCTTTTTTGTTATCATAATGGTAGTGTCATTTCTTTGATTAAAATGGATTCCTCTTCAATTCCCTAGGATTTTGGATTTCGTAGGGATCTTAATTATAGGTATGCCTCAGAATTATTGGCTCTTCTATCATTGCTCTATACATTCTCATTTAATCAAAATTTTTATCATGTTAGGCTATTGAACCTTCCAATATCTTTTCATGTAGGTCCTTTTTAATTTTCTTAATTGACGATCCTTCAATTTCAACATATTTCCCAACATTGAAGATTTGGAAGGCTAAGATGCCTTCAAAAGTGTAAGTGTGTCCATGGGTCCTTGCTCATGTTAAGATTGACACCTTTGATGTGCCCCAAAAAAGGAGACCCTATAATAGTCTTTGCCCACAATGGTGTGTTGTGTTAAGTTTATTGTGAGAGTGTGGACCATCTATTCTTAAATTGTCCTACGACTTTATACTTATGGAATAAACTATTCAAGTTGGTTGGACTTTGTTGGGTGGCTCCATAATCAATTTTATCCATGTTTTGTGTGTAGTTTAAGGATTGGGTGGTGGTGCAAGGAAGTGTTTGGAAAAGCACGCCTAGTCAAAGCGAACTTCAAAGAGGCGAGGAATAAGCTATACATCGACATCGGCAGCGAGGCGAGGCGAGCCAAGCGAGTGCCAGAGTGAAGTGATAATTTGTATCTCTTGCATTATCATTGATAGATATCACATCATTCTCCCACACAGTTATAGTTATGAGCTATATATATATGTTCACACCAATTAAGTTGATTATCGCTTAAGTTAACATTATTCGTGTGATTTCTACCATTTCACAAATATCCTCATTCCTAAATCTATATTTTCTGGTTTTACCACTCATCCATCTTAACATACTCATTTATTCTTAATTGCCCAACATCATGTATATGCTATATTTGCCCGAAATTCTCTTAAATTTGTAGATATTATGATCTAACTGCAAAATTTCGAAGTTCTATTAGGCTAAAATTACACTTGCATAACGCTGAATTTTGCATTTAATGCACTGGAAGTGTCAAATGTGGTTTTGAATTAAGTTAGAATTAGTTTCCTGACCAAAAAAAAAAGTTAGAATTAGTTTTGTGGTATTTTGACGTATGCTAGAGTTAGGTGTCTAGGAAAGGCTGTCAAAGTTTCAATTCCATTTGGTATATTACGAAAGTATCATGCAACATGTGACTTAAAGTATTTTCGGGGACTGAAATGCTTGCTAGTGGCTATATAATGAATTACAAAACTTACTTCGCCCAAGGGACCACCATGGCCATCACCTACAACTTGTAAAGCTTCCAGCATGGTACCTGTTGACCCTCCAATCAGTAAGACCTGCAAAATTGCCCATAAGATTAGAGACATGTTACATGACTATAAAGCATAATCAATTGCCATCTTTTTAAAGAAACATATTCATTAAAAGGCACTGAAAAAGGGATGCATCCCAAGTGCCAAGTATAAGGTATATGCATGACAAAAATAAAGCTAAACTCAGAAACTTCTCCAAATTCTCATAAAAGGACTTGTGGAGTCTCTATATACATTCTACGAACCAAGAATACTTCGTTAAGATCAATGTATTCATACCGGATCTTGTCGGACACTCGAGTATATGCATCTGATACGCACCATATAGATCTGATAATCATAAAATATCTAGACACTTTGCCGATACGTATCCATAATGTATATGCTTTAGATATAAAAGTGCATACATAGAGCAATATGTATTATTTAACAACATATGTTTTATACTTTTCTCTCGAATTCATCACCGCATAAACAAAAATCGAAACGGCCTTGAAGATACATGGGTGTTTCTTAAGTATTATCTACTATCACAAAAAGAGAGTAAAATGAATTAATTACACTATGTCTGTTGCAAACAAGAATTCCTAAGAAAACAAACTATTTAAATCCTAATTTTGATTTTTTAAATTAGTTGGGTTCACTTTATAACGTATCATAATGAGACGATTTATACTTTCCTAAAAAAAAAAAAAAACTAATTTTTTGTAGTATGGCTAAAGAACTTATTAGAAATTATAAGTATCAAGTTGCCAAATAATAGTGTAAATATAAAATACATTTTATCCTAAGCATATTCGTATCCTAATTTTTAAGTATTTATCATATCACTATATCTGTAATTTGCCTCTATCTTATTTGTATCTGTATTTCTTTAATACACTTCTCATAATGACAAAATATAGGAGAACTAAGAATACAAAACTTGAGCTTATATAAGAGATTCAACACACTCATAAAACCTCTGAATTTTTACTTGCCACAAGGTCCAAATGAGACGGTTAAGATACGTATCCCATCTTTCTTGCACTCTCTAACTTACCCAACTACCACACCTTGTTAGGATATTATTCATTGTAATTGGCTTTGTGAAGCGTTGTTATAAATCAAAATCTATGTGATGCTTCTAAAATCAGTTCCGAAAGCTCCAAAGGAAGGTAAGAGTTCAAGCATCAACGCTGTATTAATGGAACTTAATTTAGAATTACCCGTGAATAACTCTTAGGCTTTTCATGAAATAGATTTTCTAAACATCAAAATATAGGTTGAAAATATAGGTTGAGTCATGTATTGAATTCAATTTGAGTAATGCTCTTTATTGCTCAATAAGTCAAGTTTTTTCTTAGTTTCTAGCTTAAAACAAGTAGGGACTGCCTTATGCTCTTGTGCCTTCGACTAGCGCTATTTTTGAACACTTAGAAAAACAATTGGAGAAAGGCTGACAAGTTGGGTAGTAGAGACCGCCCTCTAGGACGCTCGTGGCTTGAATCATTTTCTCATTCCAGTAGCAACCGCCCTCCCACCGCTCTCTACCAGAGCTCCCTTGTCACATCATATAGTAACTCCGCAGCAAATTACCAACCACCAAAGTAGTTTCATTAATCATTAATTTTTCAAGGCACACCAAGGCGTAAGGTTCATGCGCAAGGTAAAAGGTGAGGTGTGGGCCTTAGCAAGATAAGGTGTACATACAAAACATGAAAAATAGCATATGGAAATGGAATTGCAAATCCAGCAGCCTAGACACCTAACTCTAGCCCAAGTCATCAATCCAAACAACTAATTTTAACTTAGTAATTCAACACTAACAGCAAAATTCAGCAGTAGTATAAGCACAATTTTAGTCTAACAAAACATGAATTCAGCAAATTAAGCAATTAGATCACAATTATTAGCAAGACACATAGGCCTAGTTAACAAAACAATGCAAATTACAGAAATTTTCGTGTAAATACAACATATACATTTCATGTTAGCTATTTCAACAACATACAACCAATTACACAAAATTCCTACCATTAACTTTTAACCTCACATTTCAGCTAATTAAATAAAATATCAACAATATACACGTAATTCTGGATCTAGTAGTGATATTTACTAATTTCAACATCATATGTATATCTATATTACTATAAAAGGTCAACAAAAGTGAAAACCCTTTGATTGAATATAATAGCCTCAATGACATAACTAATGCCCATAATACCCTTTTTGAGTTAGGATAACAACATTAATGCTATATTATTTGTAATTGTGACTACTGAGCCACTATTCTACACTTTTATTGTTCAGTTATACCATTAGATAATCCTATACAGTCAATATTATTGTTCATCCACAAATATTACTGATATATAACTCTTACACAGTACCAACTCTAGTAAATAAATATAGCATTTAGTCATTGGATATGAACCGTTCATCTTCCATGTTGCGTCTTGTTCACAAACATCTAACAAACAAATACGAAATGTACAATAAATGTATAAGTTATACATTATTAATATGTTAGAAGTTGAACCACTTCAGGCGACCAATCTCACAGAAGAGTTGGACATACACATTCTAGGAATAAATATTAAGGTACAGCGAATACATCATTTACCATTTAGAAGTTAAATCATGAACTATTAAGTATTAAGGTGCAGTTAATACAGTAATTATCTGGAAGTCCATTCCTTTCATGGCTTTTGATATGGCCTCTTACTGCTTGTTTATATTCTCATGACAAAATGGATCACAATAAGCTTAGTGGATGAACTACCACATCCCCTCAATTCATGCAGAATATGTTGATTATTTTTATGCCGAGACATCAGTTCCACAACCTCTTCCTATTGCTACAATTCCGAGTGTGGATGAAGCTTACCCTAAAACCCAAATGACCATGTCACCATCCCCTTATGACAGAAGGCAGAGGAAGAATTTTATTTAGAGTGATTTCTATCTGTATCTCAATAAGGTTATCCTATTACTTCCATTTTTCAGTGGTTGTGAGAGATTTTATGTTTATGGACAGGCTAACACCCAATGAGTGAAGAACAAGGTTTGAACTCGGGAAGAGTAGAATGAGAGGCTTAAGAGACAGAAAGTGAGTTTTATCATTTTCACTCTCTATTCCATATTGTCATCTTAGTTTCATGGTTCATATAGGTTCTCAACTTCACTACAGAATATTAATATTAGAACCTTTCAGTTTGTGTTTGTTATCATGCTTCAGTATGTGGGAGTTAAAGAAAAATGTTTTGATTGTGACCTCTTGTGGCAGTCTTCCTCTTTGAGAAGCTTTCATTTTCTTAAAGAGTTAAATTGAATGATGCAACTGAGTTAATGTGAACAAAATATCATGCATAAATCTGTTGTTGCAATAAAAAAATGATGGCATAGCATGTTTTTGCAAACCTCTTATAGATTACCTATTCAAAAAAAGGACACATTGTCCAGACATGCTTTTAGGTCCAAACGGTATTTGGAATCAAGGGTTGGACCTAGTTCTGATTTTGTTTTTTGGCAAGTTCATCTTGGGATGAATTTCACCATCCATGAAAGTAATTATTCCATTATTGAATTAACGCCAAAGAAAAAAAGAAGGATAGGAATCAAGAAAGAACTCAAATTTGTTTTCCCAATAAAATAAGTTCCACATCATAAAACACTTCCAGGCTATATTTAACGACTTCCTTGTCTTGGCATACAATCACAATTACTTCTTACCCCAATTTTTTCACTTTTGAATGAGTTGTCATGAGATCCCTGACTTATGCGTATTCATCGTCACTTATCTATATAATAAAGTACAAAGGACTTCAAATCTATCTATACCTTAAAAAAATGGCTTTTGCTTTTAGCAGTTCAAATTTATTTTCACAAAATTTAATTTGAGGACTAATATTAACTCACAAATTTTTAGATTCCCATCCAAAACATTAGAGGTCAACATAGTATTGAGTCATCTAAAGCTAGTAAAAGTAACTTGGAGCAGCTCAAATCAATCACTACCCTTAGAAGTGGGCAAGAGGCTAACAAAACAATTTTGCCAAAAGTGTCTAATAATACAGAAAAAGAGACTCTGGGTGACTCTAAGTAGAGTGAGAAACTTGAGTTGTCTAAGGTGGTTGATTTAGATAAGAATACATGTGATATTTCTACACCCTACCCTATCTTGGTATACAATCACAATTACTTTTTACCCCAATTTTTGCACTTTTGAATGAGTTGTCATGGGATCCCTGGCCTATGCGTATTCATTTAGTCACTTATCTATATGATAAAGTATAAAGGATTTTACATCTATCTATACATAAAAAAAATGACTTTTTTACAAAATTTAATTCGAGGGCTAATATTAACTCAACAATTTTTAGATTCCAGCCCAAAACATTATAGATGGTTTGGTTTTGCCTTCAAGATGGTTTTTGGTTTTGTTTTTGTTGAGAGATAATAGTTCTTAATTTGTTATTTTCCAGGGGCTTTGGTTTTCTTGATGTTCTATTTTTTTTGGTTCATATTAATTGGATGGAATTGGTGTGTTATTTTGCAGTATTGTTATTTTTTTTTTTATTTGTTCTGTAAACTATAAGGAATTGGGTTTAAACTGATTCCCTTATTTACTTGAACTAAAGAGTGGCATGGGCTAATAGCCATGCTTAGTTACTTCTTCGTTCAATGCTTAGTTGTGTACTGTTTGCAAACTAAGCTATAACAGGCTAGAGGTGATTTAGAGGCACTATGACAAAGTTTATTAACATCCTTCTAACAAGATGCTTCATTGTGTTCTTTTATGTGACAATGGAGGGATTACTTTGAGTTAATAGGGTGTATGTCTAAGGAGAAAATAATAAGACGGAGTTTCACACGGGTGTGATAAGCAACTTTGGGAAGCATTCTGATATGCATTAGCAGCTGCTGATTTTGTTGAGATAATAGGGCCAGAAAGGATTTGAATTCCGATTTCTTCCTTCCAGGCATATATGATGCAGGCCATTAGTAATTGTAGCATACATCAAGGAGGTGTTTAAGCATTTAAAATTTTTATGATTGTGAATGGATTACGATTGTTTTGGCTTGGTTTGAGGTGAAGCTCTTGAGGATTCCTTCTCTCATGTGGGTGGTAATCAAATCCCTTAAATCTCACTTCCAACTGCTCAAAAGGAAACCTCATTTCTTCCCCATATAAGGCGACTTATTGTGCTAACTTTAGGCCATTTTAAATTGCCAAGTGACCAATTAGGCAAGTTTCCAGGGGATTTTTTGTTTTCATTATGTTGTAATCTTTACTAACATAAAAGGGTAACATTTGTATCCCCCAAGCTATTTGCCCTTAATGAACAAAGTTGGTCCACGTTCAGTCAATTGAAAATAAAAAATATATACATTTTGTTTTATAAATTGTTTGAATGCTTCACTAAGTGTTTGATTTTTTAATTGTTTTATTATTGATTGAGCTTCGTTCTGGTATTTTTGTTTCCATCAATATATATGCTATCAGAAATATAGGGGGCACTGTTCAATTTGTGATTTTTTTTTTGAATATTTCAATTTTCTAGTGGGATTTTGATGTTATCCAACAATTTGATTTTGGTATCTCAATATCAATTATTGTTACTGGTGCAGTATATGTACACACATAACTCATATGCTTCCACATATATATATATATACATATATATATATTTGGGTTATATTATAGTGCAACTAGGAGAATAACTAGTATTCAATATGGGATACTCAAATTCATCGGATTACCAAGCCTACAATGATGCAATTGTTGCTTTCAATGTCTTACTAAGAAATCAAACTTAAGTAAGATCATAGTAAGAAATCAATTTTAGTAACTTTGTAATTATCAGCTTATGTCCTTGAATTAACACAAAAAGTAAAAGATAGAAGTAAAAAAAGTACTTGAATTGTTGCTTTCAATGTCTTACTATAACTTGTGGATTATGTGCAACAGGCTAACAGCTACTTGTGTTAAAAAGGCTACACAACAGAGTAAGAAGAAGAGAGAAGGACAGATGCATAGAACCAATGAGCTCATACTAGTGGTACGACAACAAATTTGGAAGAAGCAAA